CACTTAACAATAATTTTGATTATACAATTTTAAATGAATTTTCATAGAACCAGCATGGTGGCGATCACCTTATTCCCAGGGGTTATTTTCACTCATGTATTCCTTGATATTATAATACCTAACCCTTTTTGTACAGTTTTTCTTTAATAAAACTTTTAAACTTGTTTATTGACAAACTTTGAACATGTTCTGGGATTCTGTTGTAAAAGCGTATACATTGCCCCATAAATGAATTACTAATTCTGTGGAGTCTTGTAAGTGGCATTACAAGCTTATGTTTGTTCCTAGTGTTTAAGGTATGAACATCCTTATTCTTATTAAAGCTATTTATGTTTTTATGTACATACATTACATTTTCATAAATATATTGCGATGCCAAAGTTAATATGTTTATTTCTTTAAATTTTTCTCTAAGGGACTCTTTACAATTTAGATTATAAATCGCCCGTACGGCTCTCTTTTGCAAAACAAATATAGCTTCAATATCAGTCGCATTACCCCATAGCAAAATTCCATAAGACATTACGCTATGAAAGTAACTAAAATACACTAACCTAGCTGTCTCAACATCTGTGAGACTTCTAATCTTTCTTACAGCATATGCTGCAGAACTAAGTCTGCTTGCTAATTTAGATATATGGGGGCCCCATTGAAGTTTCGCGTCAATAGTAATACCGAGAAAAACAGTGGTATCCACAAGACTCAACTCCTCCCCACTTAAGAATTTGACGTTTAGGTAAGAGAATATTAAAAGATTTATATCATTACTGTATGAATAAGTGGCACCAAAATAAATCGTTGTGCTCAAAGTTCTGAGTCGTTTGTGATAGAACTTCTGTGTAAACGACGTTAGAAGTAGACAGCCGGGGCGTACAGAAAAATGTTACGGGAGCGGATGTAACTAACGCGGGAAAAAGCAACATAGAGTTGGCCATGTGCAAAACAGTCACTACTGAGGTGCACTCCTGCAACGCGTAAAGTTTGACCTTGCGCTTTATTTACGGTCATCGGTCATCGCATAACACACGCTGACTGGGAATGGGAAGTGGGAACAGAACACGCTTAGAACTGAAAGGAAAGTTATTTGATATAAGGTGGATTCTTGGTATAAAACAACATCATGACATATTGTTTTTGATGCAATTTTGCTACATTTAGCTTGGGCGTACGTATCTTTTTTCTGATATCTGTTTTTGATGATGTTTGTGCTGTTAGCTTACACCCTACACGGCTCTTTCAGCTTGAATGGACTCGTTAACGTACAACGCCATCTATTACGTTCTTCGTGGAAGACATCCTTTTTTAATTTAAGGAAAACATATTTTTTGTTTACTGTGTTTAAAGTATAAATATATTATAATAAAACGTTTTTTTATAAAAAGGAATCATTTTATTACTATTTCTGAGGTTTTATGGCGCCTTTAAACAAATCGAACCTACATTTCAAAATAATAATCAAAACTTTCGATAGAATGAACCAATTTTAATAAAAAAAAAGATTAAATGAACTGGAAGATACGCTTTATGATTTTCTAAACAATTTCTTTGAAAAAAAGATGTTTACTTAAGACATAGACAAAGTAAGTAAGTAATAAGTTTATAAACAAACAGACAGACAGACAATTCTAAAAATTATAAAAATGTACTTATTTAATGAGTTTCAGTCTCCATAATGATTTTAGTCACAAATTAATATACTATACAAATTACAGAATCAGACACAGCATGTGATTACCGAGATTATAGAGATATAAGGATAGATGGCGCTGTTAAAATCAATTCTAAAAATAAAAGAGATTAATTGACGCGATTGATACAATAAAAAAACTTAAAAGAACTTATAAATCAGGCCTACATCGTAAGCAAGAAAGAAAGTTTGATTCTCGCCGAAACCAACGAAATTGTTAATAGCTCTTTTAAAATTTGATTTACCATGTAGAGTACTCGGCGGTAAAGAATAAATGACATTGTCAATACACAGTAGGGCAGCGAGTAATTTAAAGATTAACAGCAAATATGAAAAGTCATTTACAGAAAAAAACCACAACCTGCCTTCTTGCATGACATTTGTGCAACACCACCATCTATCGATGAAATGGGTTAACTATTGTACTTTAGATTTAGATAATAAGGTTAATATATTTATTACGTTCTTTATGCAATACTTTTGTTTACTGCGTTTTAGATATAATTACATCATTATAGAACATTATTTTACATCATTTAATTATGTTATGATTTATAATATGATATTAGTTTAAAATGTACTTGATGACTCAACAAACGCCACCATTGAACAAATTCGTACCTATACTTTGCAGCCATACTTCAGAATATTTATCATAACTTTTGATGGAATGAACTAATTTTAATGAAATAAAGACTAAATGTAACCTGAAGATACACTTTATAAATTCTTTAACGATTCTTCTGATATAAATTGGTACTTTATACGTGATACGTTAACAAACAAACAGACAGACAGACAGACAGAAAATTCTAAAAATGGTAGAAATGTATTTAATTACTTATTTTTAGTACCACTCAATCACTTTTATTATATAAATCTAAAATGTACAGACATCGGCTATTTACATTTTTATTATATGTATAGAAGATGTTTATTACACTTCAGAGGTTTCGGCACAAATTCCGACCCTAAGGATAGAAAAATAGGAGATGAGGTTTTTATTGTAACTATTTAGACTACATTCTAGTTGTTACTCTTGACCCACTCAAAAGAGGAAGAAGAAAAATTAACTATTAATATTTAAAAAAAAAAACAGGATTACATTACTAAAAATAATAAAATCATTTAAATCGGATAGCTCAACACCTAAAAATAAATTAAGCAGGATTTACGTCACTTCTACGACTTCTATATTGGGAACGCCTTCTGCTATTACTTCCGTAAAAATATTGAATTTTTAAGCAGGTGCCTACTTAACTAATCCGCTTTGCTAATTAAATCGTTTTACATAATATAATTACAACTGCGTATAATAAGTCACGTCTAAGTACTTTCGATTTCTTATTATTATGCTGTTATATTATTCTATATTATGATTATTGTTCTTATTTGAAGCTTGTATGTACCATTAAGATCACGCTTTTAATAAACTAAAGAATTAACGTAGGGAACCTTTGTTTATTTGTATTGAAGTTGTCTATTATTTACCTATTATAAGCCAGCTGGAGTAATATTAATCTGATGGTATAGCCGAAGATGGTAATTGATAAAGTGCACTGACTATATTCACTCTTCCGTTAAATATATAATAGATGGAAAGACTCAATATAATTTTGCTTTTCGGATAGCAGAAAATAAAACCTATCGTAATTATATTTGGACACCTTATAATGTTAAGATAAAAATGTTTATTAGGTAGGTGTCAGCATCTTTTAGAAATATTAATTATCTTTTAAAACCGTTATCATAAGCCTTAAAGAGATATCTATTTATCCTTTTGTGATATTTCTGCAGTCGGGACCATATTACAAAGGAATAGTAGGAAAACTAATATGATGCCAAAGTAAAAAGGCAAGTACAAATAACATATGTCGTATATTTAATAAAATTATCGGAGAATGAATCAAACCCAATTAAACTGTACATAGTGTAGGCTATAACAAAGTAATCCGACCATAAAGATAAGTATTACGTATAGATATAAGCTAATCAACGAAAATGTACAGTACAATAGACCTAGATAAAAATTTCAATGTAATTCATTAATGAACTTTTATATACAAAAATAACAAAACAGGAAAACACATTTAATCGGCTATTGGACTAAAAAAGGCCACACATTTTTTATACATAATATATATTTAACATAAAGTAAAAATACTATCATGTACCCACATAAATATTTCATCTATAATGCTAATAAAAGACAAGAGGCAAAATTACCTAATGGAAAATCAAACAATAGCAATTTGAAATTGTTCACTAATGTAACTAAATACTTAATACTAGAACTAATTAAAATAATCAAAGCTTAGTCTAAAATACTAGAGATCTGCTAAGCGACATTGTGTTTAATGCAATAAAGCTTTGAATTAATATGACAACATATCATTTAGGTATTTTATATCACATTTGCTCCTACACCACACAACATAGTAAGTATATATATTTATTTTCTTAACTTTTGTGCTACATCAACAACATCATTGCTGAGCCTGCATATCCAAACAAACAGAAAAATCCAACTTTTAATTACGAACAACAATAGTTTCATTCCGTTTTATAATATTATTATTTAAATAAAATCTTAGTGTCATTTTTTTTGCTATTTTTGTAACCAGTTGAAATAACAAAAAAATGGATTTTAAGTAGATGGGGGTTTAGTAAATACTTATATAGTAATGTACTTAACTTATTTTCACGTAAAAATTTAAATTTGTCGGGTTTTTCAAAAGCAGTGACACGAATTAAAAAAATGGCAGAAAATAAAATCAGTTTAAGTTTTAAAATTTATTTTTATTACAAAAACAATAATGACATGGTTTAACAATTGTAAATAAAAAATGGTTAATATTGATTTAATAAATTCTCAGCTGCTCATGAATTTAGTATATGAAATTATTTAATCTCACTACTGTGAGTATCTGATACTATAATACACAAACATAAAAACACAAAAAAATTACTTAATATGTACAAAATTTCATTTATTTTATCTTATTAAATATGTTGTTAATAATTTAAATTGATATGAATTTATTACATTCATTTAAAGAGAGAAAAATGTGACATAAAATGGAATGAAAAAAAATGTGACATAAAAAGTTAGATCCAGGCATAAGTTTCCCTATCTGATATAAAAATATTAAATTTTTATTTATACATATTACATGACACAATAATACTCATTCTTAATTAGTCAGAATCAATATGCTGTTCATGATAATCCTTATCTTACCAAATTATGTATTCAGTATTTATACTGGTATTTTTACTAAGGATTATTTTAGTTTTGTTAAAAAAATACCTTTTATATATTTATAGAATCCGAATTATAAGTAGGGTTAGTCACAGGTGAAGATGCTCCGTAATCGGGAGTTGAAGGTGTGGATATAGGTGTAGTGTCAATTGGCTTTAATAATACAGGGGCAACATACTCATGGAAGCGTACACTTGACTCCGCCTGCAAAGGTGCGGGTGGAGTGCAGCTAGGGAATGGACTGAGAAGCAAAAATGTGCCAAATGCAACAATTGATGCCATTATTAAGATTATAGTGCGCGCTTCAAAGCCCGAACGCAAGCCTGCCCAAGCAGCCATATTCACAAGTAAGAGTAACACTGACACGCGAATCATTCTCACGGCCGCAGCGTGAATTCGCCCTCCACCTACTCCGCTCATATCACTAGGTCCATAAGCAAAGTACAGGTTATGCTTGTCACCTATGTGTTTAAGTAACAGATAAATAAGACCAAAAGGTGAGATAAGAGGGCAAGCAAGGCTATATACTATAGTAATGGATATAATAGCCAAGCTCCACGCATAATGCACACCAAAAGGAAATTCGTAAAGTATTGCTTTCTTTACATAACTCTTTTCAGCTTTCGATTTCGATTGCAAAAGATACCAAACATAAAGGAACAGCTCTGGGAAACGGATCAATTCGAGCGCTGTACCAATAAAACCTGAAGTGATGACGTAATTGACAAAAAATGCACCCTTGTCAGGAAGGAATACACAATCCCATCGCATTGTGTCATTCTCATGATGCAATGTCCAAGCGACGAAAGCCTCTGCACTCGCTAATCCAAGTGATGGTAAAATAAGAGTCATAAGTAGAAGAAAAGAAACAGTTTTTGTCATTATGGAGTAGTTCTGCTGTGATTTAGTCCAATGAGACAGAAATTTGTCAGTAAATGCTACAATAGCGGGCATGACAGCAGCCATTGTCCATAGTAACAAGGTTGGCAGGAATTCAAAAATAATGGTACTGATCCTGCTAAGACTGTCAGGCTTAACGATCAAGGTGTTGAAAAGATTTACAACAATGGCAGGTGTAGTTAGAAAGAACAGAACTATAAAAAGGGCAAAGTTAATAATTATAGCTTTAACATACCAAACACTAGGTTGAACACTCAAGTTCTCCCAAACAATATCGGCTGGATTAGTTGCATGAGTGAGAACCCAACCGTGATGCAAATTAAAGTTTTTTATAACATGTTCAGCTAGTTGATAGGATGGTAAAGTTAAAAAGGCAATACCTAGGGGTTCATTTAATACCATTGCTCGACATCTTTTAGCTTCATTTTTAAGACATTTTTCTTCATTTGTATAATATTCTAAAGCATCAACCTCCGGACCACATAGACGAAGTTTTACAGTTATACACTTTCCAGTCTTTTTGTAATAATTATCTGTGTAAATGAGTGCTTCAGTTACCATTTCCTTTTTCTCTTGAACCTCAATTAGTTTATTTACATTGTATGCCAAACGCAAATCAACAATTTGAATATTTGGGAAATTGTGGGTAAAATAGGCTCTAATGGTTGCTTCATTTCTATCAGCTTTGGAAATATTTGTAATCATAATAGTCCCTGTCATAGATGTAGGGACTGGTTTACGTCCAGTGCATCTTCTCATGATCAATACTGAAATCGGCAAGAAACAGATGCTTATTAATGTGTGTGCCCAAAGCCAATGGGATCTTCCATTTAAATTGGACAATGTTGTTCTACTGAACGTATTTGCATCAACTTGTAAATTTGTTCCTTGGAAGTTTATAGGCAGTATGATACCAATGGAGACAATTGTAACAATAAACATTAGAGTTATTGCATGTCTCTGAAAAGAGAGGTAGTGAACAGCATCTGGGCCACATTTGGCGAGTACCTGCTCACGCGTTACGCGAAAGACGGCTGGCAGCCACGAGAAGAAACCTTCATCGATGTTTGAGGATTCGTCATGGCTCCGTCGCCTCTCCACCAATGCGTCCTCATCGCCACCACGATAAAATAAGCTTGTCCAACGGCTTCTTGTACGCTGAACTAGCGCCAATCGACCATAATTCCATGCGGTACGTCTGAGTACCGTAAACAAAGCAATTAGAGATACCCATGATATCAAGTTAAGAATTAATGTTTGTGGTATTCCGTTGTAAGCTCCAGTAATAATAACATTTTGGGACGGATTTATTAACATGCAGCCCTCATCCGTATTATTGGAACTGTTTGAAGAAAACGTGTAAATTATTCCATTAACAGTATTCATCGTATTGTAGATGTCGCAATTAGAATGGTAGATAGAGAAAGCATTCACATTATGTTTAAAAGTTCACTGACTGGCAAAACACAACTGCACTATTATTATAACTTTTATTTGAGAACACTTTATAGGCAGATATACTTTAAAAATTAAATAAAGGATTTATGTCCAATGAAAATGTATGAAACTGTTTTCTAGCTTTTATCAGATACCATTGTTAGATCTGGTTTGATTTGTAGGCTTTGTCAAGTCTTTGTCTTTGGTTTTAAACACTTGTCACTTGGTCACTGACAATGACATCCTATCTATGGTATTGGTATGGTCACTTACATTGTTAATCTGTGATCACTTACTGGCAAATAATAGGCATTTCAATGCATTAAAAATAAAATCGATCTCCGATTCGATTAAAACCGATCATTAAGAGATCGATTTTCGAAACCTGGTGTAAAGAATTATATTTACAACGAAATTAATTAAATCATATAAGACTTCAAGTGTTATACAACGAACATTTAAAAAAATATATGAGAATGAATTACGCTTGCTTCAGTGATTTGTTTATTATGACTGGACCTATTATTGAGAAGAAAAATACGTTAATGAGGGAAGGTATAATAACTGAGGAATGATTGATAGTCACGCTAAGATATTTGGCAACTGGAAGAACCTATAAGGATTTCGGAATGTTTAGTGCCGCAATATCGCTGCAGAGCCTTTCTCAAAGTATAATACCCAAAATTTACGATGCGATTTATCACTGACTACATAAAATATGAATGAAAGGAAACGAACGATGCCGCCGCGCACGTGACTGACTGATGCCGTTCGATTGTCCAACTACGCTATAGACACTATAATAAGTTGGGTGTCTTGTGTAGTTGGACGGTCTTCCCAAAAAACCGAAAATGTTGTAGATTAATAATAGTAGGCTATTCGACTGATTTTGGAAAACTATTTTAAATAATTCTTTATTACATAATAAGCACACTTCATTGATATTTCCCGAGATCTACTGTATGCAGCTATATTAAGAGTACAGTTGTAGCACGAATGGGTCGGCTCGACCGGGAAAGGACCACGCTCTCACAGAATACCAGCGTAAAATAGCAGCTTAATGCTGCTGTGTTTCGTATGGTGACTGTAGAGAACCGGAGACCTATTTTACTGGAAAAGAGGCATTCTATCTTAGTCCTCACGGCTGATAACGCATCTGCATTTTAATTAGTAAACGAAGATAGATGTAGATGGGCCACAGCAACCACTTACCATCAGGTGGACTGTGTACTCGTTTGTCACCCCAATTGTTTAAAAAAAATCAAAATTAAAGTTTAAATTATGGAGTGTAGAGAGGAGAACCATCTCTATACAATGAAAAGTGTCCCTAAAAACGTGTCCAATAAGGGTGGCGCTGCAGTAGCATAAGATAAATTTAAAAAAAAAAGCGCCAAAAGTAATTAAAATAAGATGGAGAAATAAACAAGGACCGACCAATCCGCTTGGTTTTGTACTATGTAAATAGTTGAGATTTTGTACTCTAATCATGAAATTTTTTAAATATTTGAATTCAGCTGACTTCACTCCGTTCACAACAGCTATCTTCATATCGTAGTTTTTCAGACGCCAGCGCTATTGTGGTAGGTTTTGGAACCTCTATTTTCAGTAAATAGTAGGACACTTTTTCAACTTTCGCCCCTTATAAGATGGTTCTCCTTGTACTCTACACTCAATAGTTTAAATTTCCAAAGCCGCTGATTCTGTATGGCGCTTGTCATATGACATGTGTGACGTCACACATAAATGTAAACAAGTCAATAACCGTAATAAAACAGCGCAGCTGAAGCGAATTTTATCATTTTTCTTCAAATTTATTTGATATAATGGTGTGTAAATATTGTGTAGTGCCGCAATGTAATAAAACGACTATAACTAGTCCACAGAAACTGTTTGTTTCTGTTTCAGTGAATCCCAAAAACGAAAAACGTGGTTACAATTTGCTCAAAGAGACCCAAATAGCATTTAGCTCATACCAATGTTTTTATGTGTGAAGATTACTTTAATGTAAGTAATGTTTAACTTTATGTATACTTGATAGTAGTAATAATGTTAGAATTCTAAGTATATCAACATAACCTAAAATAAAACTTCTGAATGATGGTCATACATAAAGGTTTGTAAATAAATAATTCCTACGTGGACGTGGTACTTAAACTGCTGTTTTCACATTTTTATTTATTTTTTCTTATTATTAGAGCCATGGTAGCTCAGATGGTTAGCGCTCGCTGTAAGCTTCACAGTACTCAAACAACCTGGGTTCGATCCCCGCCGGCACCAATGAAATTGTTAATTGCAATTTTAAGTGCTGATTTACCACGTGCTCGGCGGTGAAGGAAAACATCGTGAGGAAACCTGCATGTCTGAGAAATAAGAAAAAAAAATATTTCGAAGACATGTGAAGTTTGCCAACACGCATTAGGGCAGCTCGGCGGACATTTCCTTGCCCTAAAACCCTCTCAGAAATGAGAGGTGGCCTGTGCCCTGCAGTGGAACGTAAATAGGCTGCAACTTTACATTACTTTCTTATTACACAAAAGTTGCCGAAATAAATCCGAAAATTAAATATGGTGCAATGAAGATAATTAAAAAAAGGGAGTCATTCGATATTCATAAATAACCAAACAAAACGTTAAGATAAGTATTTAGATTTCTTGAAAAAGGTTCTGACTTCGCCCAGGCTATCTATTTTCAAAATCCCCGTATTTTCCCGCATAATACCAATCCCCATAAAATCCCCAGCCAACTTTAAATTCCCAGCAAATTTGGGAAATCCCCACATGTTGGCAAAGTTGACATGCGTAATTTCCACAGCGCGAGGTCACACAAGCCGGCCGGCCGGCGGAAGCGCGTGTGTGAAAGGGAAGTGTAGAGTGAGTAGGCATTCTTTCGTACCGAGCTAGATATGAGTTCGGCGTCCGCAAGAATATTGACCCCATTGTCAGCTGATTTTATTTTAAGTTTCACTGCTGGTTTTATGTTTAAGTATTTTCATGATTCTTTTATGAAATTATCGTTTCATTTAGCTGTACTAACATGATGGAGCGTGAATAAAGTTAATAAAACATTGTGAAAAGATGATTTTTTTTCCTCGGGGTCGAATTTCTTTGTGAAGCATCGTCAAAAGTATACTTAGTACTATCGTATGTCTTCGTTTTCGGGAGCGTTTTACTAACAGCCTGTGTTTATATATAAAAATTGCGTGTCACGTTGTTTGTCCGCGATGGACTACTCCTAAAGTACTGAACTGATTTCAATTAAATTTTGCACACTGTGTGCAGTTTGGTTGAACTTGAGAGATAATTTTTATCCCGATAAGTGACCCTCAATATTTTTTATTACGATTTAAGGGTTTTAATAGGACAAAGGATCGTCGGAGATCGGAGTTGCGCTAGCACTACTTATTAGTTTGTGCATTATATACTACGTTTTTGCTTACGTAGTTTGCTTAAACGCACATACTAATATAATGTCATCATCGTCATTTTAAACAAATTTTTATTTACAATAAGAAAAAAATCATACTTACTGTGATTGTACTTACAATTAGTTTGCACACTAATTTCAAATATATATGTATTAAAATTTAAGTGATTTCTTTTTTTAATGATGATTGTGATCATCAATCAAAAGTCTAAAATGTGCAAATTCGCTCAGTCTGTCTGTAAACCTGTAAATCTACGAAATATAGCTTATAAATCCAACATGTATGTACTTCCGAAAACTAAAAATTTCTATGGAGCAAGAAAGTTGGCACATCTTGTACCTACTTTTATTAATGCCTTGCCACTAGAATTACAAAACACATACGGTAAATCAAAACTGTTTAAAAGTAAACTTAAATCATATTTGATAAATCAACCATATTTATTGTAGTAAGTACTTCATACTGGATTATTGTGATTTAATATTAATACATCTTTGTTTTTATAAGACTACTCTCTAGTGTAGATAAACCCCTAGAGGTTTATATGCTAGTATTGTGCTGGATAGTGTAACATAATTATGCTCAATTAAAAAATAAAAAAAAAAACAGTTACCAAAGAGCGGATTGGATTTCAAGTAGTGATAATACGACGTAACTACTGATGTGACATTGAGTGAAAAAAAAATTGATTAATAAAAAATAGATTATTTGCTTCGTAATATTAATATAATAACCCCTGGGAATGAGGTGATCGCTTCAAAGCAGTTTCTAAAATAAATTTTGTAAATAGTTCGTAATCATTTATATTGTAAAATTTATTTTAAAAAAAAGTCCCGCTGGGTTTCTTGCTGGTTCTTCCCAGGACAGAGGGTTTTTTCGAACCAGTGGTAAAGTAAAAAATGACTTTCAATAAGAATTACACATGTAATGTATATTGAATAAAAAATATTCTATTCTATTCTAAAAAATCGATTTAGAAAAAATCGATTTTTATTAAAAGAAATAATCGATTTTTGCGGAAAAAATTATTTTATTCGAAAAAATGCCTGCTTTCCTACATATTAATAAAACTACGATATTAGTATTGCAATGCAAACAATTTATCAGAATGTAAATCAAATAAAATGATAAGTATAAAAAATAATCAGAACGACAATCTTCTGGTTTCAAAACTATACTACAAAACAATTTTTTTAATCTATAACTTTTAACAATAAAAAACTAAAAACAATTACTGCTACTATATACATCATTTAACAATTTATTAGTACTAAAATAAAAAAAAAACGATAAGTTTAGTAAACGATAGTTTTTTTGAAGTAAGTTTGAACAAACAAAAAATCTAAATATTATTATTGCCACAAATGTTCAGTACCATTGACATTGGATTAGAATGAAAATAAAATAATATAGTTTTATTTTAGACCAAAAGGTTAGTTTAAATAATCAAACCTTTTGGTCTCAAAACTAATATACAAAATAAATCTTTTTTTAAACTTAAGTTTAAACAAAAATACTATAAATC